CTCCACTTACTATCAAACTCTGAATACCTAACGGCCAGGCCTCAGGGGCAGTGGACGGTGACCCGGACGCAGTGCGCGGAAACGACCGACTGACGGCACCTGGTATTTGTCACCTCGGTGTCAGACATGGGTCGGTCACCTCGTGTCAGACATGGGTTGGCCACCCCGTGTCAGACATGGGTCGGTCAGAGTCTGTCTGAAGGGTCGGTCACAGTAAGTGTCAGCGAACCATGACCGGCACCGTGACGGGGCGGCCACCCTGCCTGACCTGACCGCGGTCACCCGGTCGGTGGTATGCAGCGCCGTGGGTGCCCTCCCATCTACGAGCACACGCTGTGGCACGCAGGAGCTCGGGCCCGGAGTTGTCGGAGTGCTACCGACCGTTCCCACGCGGAGCTCGGGCGCGGCTGGTGGTGGAGCGGGAAACCGGAACTGACCTGACCGGGTCGTGCGGTGGTGTAGTTTGACAGATGACTGCTGTAGTGGCTAGGCTACTGTGGCTAGGCTGTTAGTTAGTTGTATCTCTGGAGAATGGAGGCAGGAATGTGAAAGATGGCATGTATGATATTGTGAGTTGTGACATTACGGTCGTTTTACACGATCACACACAATGCCTGATCTCGGATAGAGGCTTCATATTTAAGCCTGCGAAATGCTTGACAGTTGACAAACATGTGTAGGTATAGCTATGAGCGGTGTGCTGCACTTGCACAACTGAAATTTACATTTATGAATGGGACGCCCAGGCTCATAATCACCTTGTTTTATACAGATGTGATAACACATGCCTCATGCATAATTCATCAGTTGATACCATTAGTTCGTCCTGAGTTGCCTGGCTGGCTACCGTCCGACGTTTAAAATTCATAATACAATCCACCTTAGTCGCAAACACCATGCCTGTAATCACAAAACATTAACAACTCATCGAAGACTGTAGAAATCGAAAACCAGACTAATGAAAATCGGAGGAAAACCGCAGGTTCAAAGGGCAAGAGAAAGGGGCACGGTCAATGTCCGCAAAACATTTACCAAACGATTAGGCGCTAGGGTAGGTCGCTTCCTTTACGACCCTGCCTTTCGACTGTCGCCTCTGGTCAGAATCTTACGCCGATTATAGGGAAGCGCTATTTTTATTCAAAAATATATTTGTGCGACTTGATTGATTTATAAAGCAGGACTGTCAAGTGTCTAGCATTTCGATTATCCGAGTTCGATTGTCTTTGATAAAATCTTCGACACAGGTCCGCCGTCCAGTGTTCACAGAGGGTGACTCAGTCTTCATTGAGTTATTCCATTTCGGCTGCTATAGTCGCCTCTTCATGGAGTTGCCAGAAAATTCACAATTCTTCTCGACTCGAGGAGCCCCATGACTGGAAAGAGTCATGACTGGAAGCCCCATGACTGGAAGGAGTCATGGGGCTCCTCACGGCCGCGGTTTGTGGGCTCGGGAAATATCACCCTCAAATATGTCGTCCCTCACAGGGCAGTCGGCCGCAGCTTTGCGGCAGCCTCTGTCGCAATGGGCTCTCTGGACTTTCTGGACTCCGGAGAATCGTGCATGACCGCTCAGGAATCCGGACTCACCCAGTTGGGTCCCGGTCCGGGCTTCCGGATCCATTAGTCTGACGGGCCATCTGGCGCTATGACCGGCTCGGCCATCAGGTCAGCCGTCAGCGGCCACTCGTCAGATTTAGCAGTCAACAGTCAATAGTCAGCAGTCAATAATCAACAGCAGGCCGCAGTCAGCAGTCAGCAAAGTCAAGAGCTAACAGTTTGTAGTCAACAATAAATAGTGAACAGTCAACAGAAAACAGCGAACAACAGCCACCAGTCGTCACTCTGCAACAAACAGTCTACAAACATTCAGCCCCAGCTGTCCTTCACTCACCAGGCACCAACATCCACCACTGTCGGTTGGGGTGTTCACTGTTCAGTGGCCCGTGAACAGACCACCCGGGGCTGCCCGATCACCGATCCCCAACCCGCCAGCGCGCCGGCCGGTCACCCTCCAACCGAGGAGAGCACGTGACCGCCAAGGTCACACCGGGCCGCGACCGAGTGCGGCAGGTGGCTGAGGCTGGACCGAGACGCACCGCGCCGTCAGGAACACCGCTGCACGGCTCGCGTCACTGACCACATGGCCACAAGAAGGTGCGGGGTGGTCATGAATCGTGATACGTGAAGGCGACCGTCTTGTGGGTGGTCGCAAGTCACGAGCGAGGCGGAGGGAAGAATGAAAGTGGTTATTCTGGCAGGATTTCGAGTGTGAAATTGGAGGGCAATAAAACATCAAAAGATCCAAATGCGTCATTGGAGCGCTAAAACGAATGCGGCGAGAGCCGAGAAGTCTTGCCGGTTGCTCTTCAGACCTGATAATTAGCATGACCAAGGCATTAACACTGAATAAGGAAACTAAGAATGAGATAGTTCCAAGCGTTTGCTGATTTAAACTGGTACAAAAAAATGATAAGCCCATGGAAGCCTTACACTCGGCATAACCGTACCACAGGCCAAAAGCCGATCCACGATCTCTAAATGGTTTTGTAAAGTCATTTGTGAAACGGCGATCGCCCACCGACTCGCTGACGGCGCGTTTTAACGGTCACGAGCGCTCGACTTCTCCTTTATTTGGACGCATCTTATGCCTCATCACGACGCCTGTTGTCGAGAACGACTGGGCTTATATTGAGCGAGCGGGACCGGCCTGAGAAAACGCCACTTCGAGCACTCTCCAGCCTGCATATATATATATCCGCAAATATCGGCCGTAGCTGTGGTCTCTCCCTCATGGTCAGACTCATGGCTATAAACCATCCAGTGTATTTAAAATGGGTTTTGGGATGTTTATTTTGTTTTCCGTTTTGGTTTTATTTAAAAAAAGAAAATGTTCCGACTTTGAATGACCAAGCTTTATTTTAGTCTCTTCGTTGAATCATCTCCTTCCTTCTTTGCTAACCTGCAATTGCTTTTTGTACAGCTGAATACACTGGCCATACTGATCGTATTCTCATCACCGTATACATCCACGATGACACTAAAATATCTAGCACCAAAGCCTCGTTTATACCACTGCCCGCCCCGGCTTCACACCCAGTCACGACATTGGCACAGCGAGGCGAGCCAGCGCTTCACGGCAGTGCAGTGGCGTTCCATTCATGTCACCCAGTTTTCACCCCGGAACTCGCGGCGCGCCGCCCGGGGACAGAATGCACGCGCTGCACATTATTCGCCTCACGCCTCGTGAGCGGCAGACATACCGTGAGATTACGGAACTACCGGGAGATTGCGGCGCTACCTGAGTCAAGATACTATCGTGCAGAGATCACAGCACTACCGTATCTCACGGTTTTAACTATTGCGGTGTAACGATGTGGTGATACGACAGAGCAATGCCGTTTTTTGTATAGCGGGTCCTTAAAATGATATTTGTTTACGACTTGTAATTGCAATATCTAGCATTGAGGAAGGAAAGACAATCGAACACTTCCTGGTTAGTTGTCCATGGACAAGGGATGTGGCCGGAATAGAGCCTCACTACACAGCACTGGCCTCAAATACGAGTCACGGCCAATGACTCGCCGGTGGCTGTGGCTAGCGCGTGTGAGTAGTGAGAGCTGGTAAAAATACGCCACTGCTAACACTTGCGCTGCCAGGCGTGGCATTTAATTATTTGCGGTTGACGCCACACCCTTGTGAAACCGGCTCCAGACTCATTCAAGGATTCGCCTACCGTACCACTGTTTTCGCGCACAAATTTAATTGGCTGTAAAAAAATACAGTTCTTAACAAATGAAGTGCCTTATGCTTATCTTTTTGTTGTACGTTTTCAAACCGTGACCACTTCTCTGCAGAAAAACAATTCGTACACTATCAAAAGCTATCAAAGCGACGCGCTTCCTGTTTCTCTAATTAGAACAGTGATAATTACGGCGCCGAGTGTGTGACGTCACGCTGACGTCACAGTAGAGCAGTGACCGCTGTGTGGCCGGGGTCGCCGGTTTGTGGGCCGACCGGCCGACGACTGAGGATGTGCAGAGACGGCGACAGCGGACGACCTGGTGGCAGTTGACGAGAGAAATGCGCTGCGAATGGCCCATTACTGACGGGTGTAATTGCACTAATGTTTCGTCAGCACAGTCATAGGTACATCACTGTTTAATGGCGCATACACTAATGCCTTCGTACCTTCTGACAAGGAAGACTACTGCGACTGTGACCGTCTGCATCAGTTCTATTCACGTTTGCGCCTGACATCATACGTAGGTATTACCATGGATGAAGGAGAGGTTCGTTCATCCATGGTATTACAGTGGCCGGTTTTTCGATGCCGTCGTTAGGGAACCTCGCAAAAGTTATAGATACCAGTCAAGCGATCTTTGTTTACCGATTCTTATTTGGAATGTGTGTCATTCTTTGGGTTTCTTGTTTATTCCTAAGTCGCAGTGAGTCACCTCACGATACAATGGATCTTTTTGTTTGCTAAAATTTCATTTGAATGCTCGAATGCCTGGGTGCCCGCTAAGCAGAAATTGCTGCAAAAAGACCACGGACCAACCGCCAAACCACACCACTTGCACGAAACATATCGGCATGAATGTACTTAAAAACCAACGAACCGCAAAGAGGCGAATGAAAGCAACCCTGGAGTCTTTTGGGACCTTGACAATATTTCATGCAGGTGCCGACATATTTATTCCTCAAATCAAAAGGTGTAACCTTCCTGTTACTACCGATTATGAGACGGTCTTGACTCTTGACCACCAGTTGGCGCTCGGCGGAGTGCTCCTGTCCTCTCGTCTGACCGGGTCTGTCCTGTTCCGGCTGCTCCTGCTCTCGTGGAACCGGCGTGTCTGATATGTTACAGCTGCTCCTGCCATGCCCTCGTGTGGCCCGTGCCTCTGCTCCGTTATAGCTGCTCCTGCCCTCCCCTGATCCGATGTCTGTTCTGTTGCAGTTGTTCCTGCCCTCGTCTAACCTGTGTGTCTGTTCTGTTGCAGTTGTTGCTGCTGACGGCGCTGTCGGCGGCTGCCGGCGCCCAGTCGCTGACCGAGTGCCTATCCCGGCGGCCGCTACAGGACGTGTCGGGTACCTCTCTGCCGCCGCTGAGCGTGCGTCAGGTGAGCGCGCCGCAGTCGTGCGTGCAGCTGCTCTGCACCGACGATCCGCTGGTCGTCCACACGGACGGCGAGATCACCTACGCCTCGGTCAACATCGACGACACTTCTGCTCAGGGCTCGCTGTGCATGGACGAAGTGCGAGGCTCGCGCGACGCCTACGTACGCTCCAACCTGCCGGTGACGTTCTACCGAGCCGGCGACGTGCACTTAGTCATCCACGACTCGACCTGCCCGGCGACGCGGCTGGAGAAGCAGCGCCTGCTGCTCCTGACCGCGCTCAAGGGACAGTCCGTGCAGCCCCTCGAGGCGTTCATTCTCTGCGACTCAGACCTGCAGGTCACCAAGCCGGCCATGCACGTACAGATGAGCAGTCAGGAGGGGACCGTGACCCACGTCACCATGTACTCGGGTCCGCAGGCGCGCGCTGCCTCCAGTGGCTTCGTGCCGCAATACGCCCGGCTGGAGATCGCTAACGACTTCGTCGTGTCCGTGCTGAGTTCGTGCGTCGGTGACCCGACCAAGATGGAGCTCATCAACAAACTGGGTGCCACGTGGCTGGGGGAGATGGACTCGTGTCTCCGGCTGCTGTGCCACTCGGGAATGGAGGAGCTGGCGCTCGGGTACTACAACTATCTCCTCTACGACAACGACAAGATGGAGGGCGAGGCGTGTTTCAAGGCGCTGCAGACCAACCAGATCGGCTCGACAGTCGACACGCCTCTCACCCAGGTGCGCGTGGTTAGCGCCGAGGGCGACTCGTGCACTGGCACCAAGATCATGGTGCTCAACCCGACCTACTCGGGAACATCCAAGAAGCTGCAGCGTTTCCTCTACTACCAGGCGTACAAAATCCACTCGTTCGACTGTCCGGAGCTCGCCGAGACCTGCCTGCAGCAGAAGCTGGCGCAGCTCGGCTACACGGGGCCGCGCATCCCCACAAAGTCTGAGTTCCCGTACCAGTGCGCCAACCTGCTCTGCGACTCCAGGGTCGGCCTCTCGCCAACCGCCTTCTCCAAGACGGCCTTCCACGTCACCGTCGAAAACGACAAGATGCGACCGCTCAACAACGTGTGCTTCAAGTCGCTGAGTCGCTCCAAGGCGGGTCGGCGCTCGGACTCTCAGACGGTTCGCGCTGACGTGCCCTCGCTCGGTGTCAGTGTGCTCTTCTCGCTTCTCTGAGGACCTCGCTGAAATGTGTGCACTGTGCATTGACCTCTTCTCACTCCTCTAAAGATATCGCGAGAATACGTATAGCTTCCAAATGCTGTTCTCGCTCCTCGGAGGGTTCCATAGAGTAATTTCAAAGTGTTTCAAAGCAGAGGCAAAATAATTTCATGCCTGCTCCTATAGATGAGGACGCTGCTCGAACATCAGATGGTTCTCTCCGGGGTTGGGGTTTGTGACATTCAGCTCATCACTGCAATTGGAGCTCGGTGTTTTTGATGCTGTTGTAGAATGTGATAGTGCCCATATCCTCCGTGCGTGAAATGAAGTTTGTTAAAGTGTATATTGTTCATAGATTGTGTATGTATATGCTATTGTATTGTGTCATGTGAAAGTTATGGGCCGCTAAATGGAACTGCAGGAAGAGCTTGTATGTCTTCATGTGTGAAAATGATGAATCCGTGGTAGATTTGAAGATAAATACCTACAGGCGAGGGCGGTACGTGAGATTACTGATCACGTGAGATCAGCCTCGTCACCCAGCCTGCCGTGAGTGCCTAACCAATGCCTAACCAACCACGGGAGAGCTCTCCATTGTCTTGATTTACATGTGTATTGTGTACATATATAATATACATCCCTCTTGATGCACTTTTTAAGTCTGTAAAGTTGTTAATTGGAGCAATGATCTGACGGCATCTGGTAAAGCCTGTTTCGTTGAAATCAAGTTTATGTACTTCAAATTTTAACAATGTATTTTATTATTTGTCTTCATTGGTAATCAAGTTATTGTAAATTATCATTATAGCACGTTAAAAATCAATCCATGAGCATGAACAATGAACTGAACATTATTCCATTGTTACGTCAAACATGAGAGACTAACGGTGAGTTTATGTTTTCCTCCAAAACTGAAATGGCCCTAAATAATTCCTTATTCTTTCTCTCATGAGGTAAAAACACCAAATGGCTTCGTGTCACCTGGCACTGTGGCCTCAAAATATGGCTAGAACGGTTGCATGTTCAAATCCCATTTTGGAGATGTTTCCTTTGTAACGTTTCGTGACCGGCATGCTTTCACGAGTTTCCTTGTGACCTTCCTCGTACTGTGAGTTCATGGCGAAATAAATATGCTGAAAATTACACTGAAGGAATACTTACAGAAGAAAATACAGTAAGTCGATGGCAAACTCACGACAAACTAACATCAAAAGTCACTTTCGCCGCCCACCAGGTGTGGCCGCCTGCCATCAGGCAGCGCTCCATGCGCAGGGTGCCGCACATCTGAACGAACCAGACCGAGAGAGCGGAAAGCGTCTCCGCTGCCGTGCATATCACACATATGAGCAACCTGAGTGACGGCTGGGAGCGCTAAAGGCCATCAATCTGCCGCCCGCCTCATTATATAAGTGCTACAAAAATTAGACGGTAGGGCATTTAAATTATTTATAGGTGCCACTTAGGGTGGCATGATTTATTACTTGCCCGGATTTCGGAAGGATAGGTATTGTGACTCAAGGCTGTCTTCATTTCCCCTTGGAGTGGCGTATAGCGTGCTGACTTGCATTTCGAGCAGAAGCAATTTGCGAAATTAGTTACACCGTTATGAAGACGAGAAGAGAACAAGGAACCGACAGAGCCATGCAGCAATTAACAGGTCTTTCTGCCAGCGGTGGGCCTCATTAGTTATTTCCGGATGGGTGAAACGGGTTTGCAGGACGTCTGTTGCACTGCAATGAAAAATCAAAGCATTGCTGCAAGTGCACAATGGTCGATATGCTCATACTGCCATCACCGCATATTGCCGTTAACTTATTCAAGCAACTAATAAAATGATGGAAATGACAGCCCACATTTTTTTTTTCAAACTAGACGTCACATTTGTGTTTCATCTGCAGAGGCATAATCTCAGACTTTATTAACGATTAATTTTATGATCGGGCCTCAATTTCTAGAGCTTTTGTCGCCTGCGTTAGATCAGAGACCGGTGATCTATGTATAACACGGGCCGACATTAGCCCGTCTCTTTCCGCGCTCATTCAGTCCGTCCTCACTGAATACCACCCTGATTAAAATCTGACCGTAATCCTGCGACGAGTGTGGCTACCGGCTCTTGAACCGGTCCGCATTTAGTCCGCTCCAGTGACGCGCACCTCAGCACGTGGGACGCTGTCACTTAGCCGGCCAATCACCACTAGAAGACACATGCCGGGTGCGCGGAAAGAAAGGAACCGCCCAGCTCACTCCAACTATACTCATCGCCAGTCAAATGTCGGTCCAGAAAAGGCCGAATTGCTGGAGAACGGTTCGACAGAGGCAGGGATAAATGGGCGACATGGCTGTTCAGTCCGAGAGCAGACGTGCCGGAGAGTTAATGACGCGTGGCGTGGTCGATATGTTACACATATGGCTCATCTGCGTACCTACAGTCATTCATACGCGGAAAGGTGCACCAGACCGAGCGGGTCCAGTGCCGTTTCAAGAGTTGATTTAGGATTATTCGTTCACATTCAAGCATTATTCATGCTCCTTCGTTCCGACCAAAGCTGCAGCCTAAATAGATCGGTTCTTGCTACCCTCTGGAGGTGCCTCCAGCAAGGAATCCCGTCGCATTCCCGCTATCAGTGCCCATCTTTCTCGGAACCCTTTAGCCCCTCCTCCGAGGCCGTTTTGCAGCCGTGAAAGTACCAGGGGAAGAACTGCTGAGGTCGCCAGACACAATACCGCGCTGGGAACGTGGTCAGCTGCAGAGCTAGCCTGATGTGGTGCAAACGGGATCATGCAGGTCCTGCCGTCGACGGTCATGCACGTCTGTCTGCAACGTACCGCTCACCGCTGAGCGACTCTGCAATCGCCTGTTGCGATAGAATGGTGTGGAGGTATGAGGGGTATTGCAGTGTGTGCTAGGTCCGCCCTGTGCATGATTTACGTAAAGTGGATATCGAGCTAAAACAAACTGCTGGGGTATAAAGCTTGGGATATGTGGACCCGCTTTAGCATTTAATTTATTATCTCAGAAGACTTCCCGACAAGGAATGCGCTTGCTCAAACAGATGCTTTTTACATATCTATACTGGACTTTAATAAACAATGTGTTTCTCAGTAGTGCATATTGATTGAACTGGCGCTTGGAAAGAACAGTATTATTGCGTGGGCAAAACAATTTGGAAAGTTGTGGGGCTTCATTACAGGATATCCGCTGACTGCATTAGCTCAACACAAAGACACAAAAATTCCAGTTTCATGTGCTGCTAGCCAGCTCAAGATCATGTTTTGAAACTGGGAACAAGCTATAGTTCATCTTGATATTATAGTCTGTTTTTCGTATCTTCTACCTTCACTCAAAGATGTTTTGCCCCTCCAGCACGTTTTTTGGGTATAGTTTTCAAATCTTGACCGCATGGCCCACCACTCATTGCAAGAGTTTGTTGCTCGTGTTGGAGTTCGCCTTTGCTGCGCAGATAAAGTCGGAAAAGAAACCTTTAAGCTAGAGTATCGCTTGTATTATCGTTACCACGGTTTATTGGTACTGACAACCGACCTATACACAAGGACGTTTTGCTGTTCATAGGTACTTGCATTGTGCGAAGCGCTCTTGCTTAAAGTTTAAACCTTGCACTTCCTTTTCATTGGGTAAAAGAAGCTAAATGTGTTTTATGCTCTGCCATATTTTTTTCAAATGCTTTATTTATGTTTTGCTTTATTTACGTTGCGATAACTTTTACACCGACGAATAACAAAATTGTCTTAGCCCACGCCCGCTTGGGGGTCCCCAGGCAGATTTGCTTCATCTTACAGTTTTCCTATTTGCCTCACGCGATCATCCCGAAAAGTAAAAAAGATACGAAGACGCGGGCAAGAATCGATAGAGCTCTCAACAATTACTTTCAGCAGTATACGTATATAGTATATACCGCATTTTGCTGAGGTCAATAGTGAAGGCCAATGAAGGTCATAAATTTAAAAAACTCCCGAGCTTAACATGTTTGGACAAATCTGACCAAACCTTGTCAACCGATTGAACTACAGCGCCGTCGAAACATTTTTAGTTCTAGCAGCTATTAGGTATTGTCGAAAGCTGCTGGTGGTCTTTATCATCTGACATGACTTTTTGACCACTGGCAATCACCAACGCCTTAGGGCTTATATTATGATTGCAGGTAATAGCAACAAGAACGCCATTTTTCGTATTATATTGCGCTGAAAGCATGACGGAGTTGAACTGTGCCAACACCGTCGGTGTATCTCCGCGCCTTCAACACTTTTCTTTCTGATATCCAAGGAAGTAAGTTCGTTATTCTGGCGATATTCGTTGGTTGTGCTCCTTCTTCACCGCCTTATTTCAGTCACCTAACCCACATTTCTTTTGCTTTGAAACGTTGAAAGAAAACGTTACGATCATTTTGTCTTGTCTGAGACCAAGGCCATTGCCCTTCTGTTGTTTGAAAACATAATGAAATTAGAAAGGGATAATTTTGCCAGAATGAAAATATGATGACACCTTTTTATGCAAATGCATTTCACTTGACAACGAACATTGCATTTTGATTAACGAGATAGGCCAAGGGGACAGACGTTCGATCTTGCGTTCGAGATAAAAAATGACTTTGCAGCGGTGTTGATTTAATTAGATGTTCGCTGGAGCACGTGATTAGAGAGTTTACCGTCTTTGAGTGAAGGTAGAAGATACGAAAAACAGACTATAGTGCTGAATTGTAGCTTTTGCTAAGGATTAAAAGAAGTTGAGACGGACGGGTTGAGTGGGTACCTCAGAAATATAAGGCAACATAAACAACACGAAACACTAAATGAATGTTCGGTCATGCCGAAAATAAGGTCACCAGATGCTAAAATCTATTGCAACTCTAGTCGGTATAGCTTATATGTTGACATATCTAATGACGTCACGTGACCTGACCTTAGATGACCCATCTAAGTACAGGTGACTCCTGAAATAATATGCTATTAGCTAGTGTCTAACTGAGTACGTTAAACGCGATGTTCAACAAACATTGCAACTATAGAAGCTTGCTGATTGTCAAACGTACGATGGAACTCGATTATATTTCTAGAGTTATATTATGTAAGTAAGAATAATTGGCACTTATCCACTGGGAGACTACAATAGAGGATAAAACGGCCTCCTTACGGTAGAATACTTAGCTGCCTTATACAGCAAAACTAGTGACAAACTATATGAAATAATATTTTCGGAGTTTCTTGAGTGATATATATTGAAAAATTGATAGCAAATATTTCGATACTCGTAGTGGTACCTTTTTCAATGCGAATGATGCACAGTGCGAGCTTTGTTAAGCACAACAAAATAACACAATTCCCATGCAATCGGTGGAGCTGGGTCCTCCAGTGCAGATAAAGTAACCTATACGATACCGCCTTCCTAAGAACTTATACAATATCACTGTCTATCACGGAATTTTAATTAAATATTTAGACAATCAGCGCTAATTTAATAAAAAGAGCGTCACTTCAGTTACAGGTAAGTCACACTTACACAAGGTGACCCCCCCCCCCTCGCGTGTTCGTTCAGCGTGCCAACCACTATTTTTTTAGCACAATGTCCCATATTGGGCTCAGCTGGACGCCACCGCTGTCGAGATTCATTGACGGGCGCAGCTGTCGGATC